CCTCTGACTGACCCTCTGCCTTTCGTGGAAGTATGTCTTTTTCTAAGGACTGGCTCCTCACAGCATGTCCAGAGTAGATGGGACAAAGTACCACCCCCCATTGCCTCTGAGGGGCTCCTTGGATGACTGCATTTCCTCCAGGACAGATTTGACGGTCATGGGATATTCAGTGTTCCTTGTACAACAATCTGACCCCTAACTGGTCCTAAATTTCTCTGTACGTCAGAATCACCTGTCAACAGATCAGACTCCTGTGACTCTGATGAGTCAGAATTTCTCCAGGGGCAAGACAAAGGAATCTGTCTTCTCACACACTTCCCAGGAGATTGTCCAGCCCGCAGCTCAACATAGATCCCCTGCCCGGAGTGGTGTGCTTGAGTCTGTAGTAGAGTCATCTAGAGCCATCTGGTGTGGAACAAGCCAGATGGAAGCTGTGGAAAAAGAGGAAAAGAGCTTTTTACATTTCTCTGAAGACATCCCAGGTTGGGGTGAGGCTAGAGGTGAGGTGCAGAGAAGCCAAGATACCCTCCGTGCTGTTCAACCAACTGTCCACCTACTGATTCTTTTAAACATTTACTGAGCTCACATCACCAGTGGATAAGGTCCTATGTTGTGTGGGGGCCACAGAGTTTCCAGATTGCTGTCCTCTGAGAACTCACAGTTCTTGTTACCTAGGGTAATAAGATTGGCCAGTATTTACCAAGTTACCAAACCTTGGCCAGTATTTACCAATTACCAAATACCGGTGTCTACACTGGTATTTGGCCAAGGGAAAAGTAAACTGATTTTTCGTCTTAAAAAGAATAAGAGGTAGTCCACTCTAAATCCTCTCCTGGTGAGAAAATAATGTGTTTTTCTTGTTCTATAAATTATTTTCTTAGATTTAGTATATAATAGTGATTTCCCCCACCCCCGGCTGGATGCCCATGCAGGGATTCTGGCTGTCTTCGTAGTTGCCGCAGGCCTCTGCTCCAGGCCTCATCAACAACCTGCGTTATGCAGATGACACAACCTTGCTTGTTGGTAACGAGGACTTGAAAACAGTTGCTGGAGAAGATCAAGGCCTACAGCCTTTAGTAGGAATTGCATCTCAACATCAAGAAAACAAAGGTCCTCCCCACTGAGCCGGTAGGCAACATCCTGATAAATGGAGAAAGGGTGGAAGTTGTCAAGGATTTCACCGTGTTGAGCTCAATAATCAACATCCTTGGTACCAGTAGTCAGGAGATCAGGAGATGTATTTTACTGGGCAAATCCGCCGTCAGAGATCTCTCCAGAATATTGAAGAGCCGTGATGTCAGTTTGAAGACTATGGTGCTCCTGATCCAGGTCATTGTCTTTTCAATCATTTGCTACACGTCTGAGAGCTGGACAGTGAATAAGGATGACAGAAGAAGAAGTGATGCCTTTGTATTGTGGTGTTGTAGAAGAGTACTGAACATCCCATGGACTGCCAAGAGAACAGATATGTCTTGAGAAAAGTGCAACCAGAGTGCTTCTTGTGAGCAAAGATTGTGAAGAGTCATTACACATACTTTGGGCGAAGAAGAGGTTATTCCTTGGAGAGGGACATCATGCTAGGAACAGTGAGGAACAGCAAAAGAGAGTAAGACCTTCCGTGAGATAGACTGACGCAGTGACTGACGCAGTGGGCTTACATGTGTCAGAGATGATGACAGCGGCACAGGGTAAGACGGGGCTCAGGTCTGTTGTTCACGGGGTTGCCAAGAGCTGTACTCAGCAGGCCCTAACTACCGCAGTAACAACGGATTTTTCACTTCTATTAATGATAGAGAGCTTTCCTTAAGTTGTGGTGGTGGTGGTGGTGATGGGGGGGTGATGGTGGTGGTGGTGGTGGTAGTGGTGGTGTTGGTGGTGATGGTAGGGGGAGATGGTGGGGGTGGTGGTGGGGTGGTGGTGATGGTGGTGGCGATGGCGAAGGCGATGGTGGGGGGTTGGTGGTAATGGTGGTGATGGTGGGGGGTGGTGATGGTGGGGGGTGATGGTAGGGGGTAATGGTGGGGGGTGGTGATGGTGGTGGTGATGGTAGGGGGTAATGGTGGAGGGTGGTGATGGTGGTGGTGATAGTGGAGGGGATGGTGATGGTGGAGATGGGGTGGTGATGGTGGGAGGGTGGTAGTGGGGGGGTGATGGTGATGGGGGCTGATGGTGATGGGGGGGTGATGGTGGTGGTGGTGGTGGACCATCGAGTTGGAACTGACCCATAGCTGAGCCTACAGTGGATTTTCAGAGGCAGGAAATTGCATGAGAGAAGATTGTTCAGCTCTCTCCCATGGAGCAGCTGGTAGATTTGAATTGTGTACCTTGGCATTGGTAGCACAGTTCCTTATCAATAAGCTGTTAGAGCAGTCTTTTGTTTCATTAAATGTTATTGTTGTTGTTGATTGCCATCGAGTTGAGCACAACTCATAGCGACCTTATGAACAAAAGACCTGAAGCCTTTCTCTAATATCGTCTTTTCTCAAAGTTCATAGAGTTTCCAGAGGCATGTTGTTTAGGAAGTAGATGCCACTCCTGCCTTAAATAGAAACCTATTAATCAATGATCTGTTGTATATAGTGTCACTGTGAGCTGGAATCCACTTGGCACTGCCTAACAATAAAAAGAAACACTGCAGTGTGTCACTACACACTCACTCGAGTGAAATGAAACCGTATACAATGTACAGAAGACTCTCTGGTGGCCTGGTGGGTAAGGACTTGAACTGCCCACTCAGAGTCACCTGATTCCAATCCACCAGCTGCTCTGTGGGAGAAAGATGAGCAGTCTTTTTTCGTGCAGTTTACAGCCTCTGAAAACCCCACTGGAGGGTTAATTAGGAGTCACTTCCAACTCAACTGCACATAACGACAACCACCAGGTGTAAGTGAGGGTGTGGACCAACCAGAACGCACCCACACTGTGGATGGACATGTAAGATGGTACAGTCACTTGGGGAAACTGCTGATTATTTTTTTTATTATTATTATTTTTTGAGCATGTACCATCAAATCAGAGCTGAGTGGCACAGGAGGAGATTGTCCCTCCTTCTCCAGCGGAGCATTTGGTGAATTTGAAGCGCGCACCTCTGGGATTGCAGTGCAGCTTCTTACCACTAGGCCACCAGAGCCCCCTCGATTTCTTTTAACACTAGATAACCCAGCAATTCTGCTTCTAGGACTTTACCCAAGAGAAATGAAAACATGTCCAAAGACTTGTATCAAATGCTCATAGCAACTCCATCTATAATCTGAAAAGCTGGCAAGAGCACGGTGGCATCACCAGGCAGTTAGGTGAACGTGCCAGAGGGTGGTGCTCAGTGTTGAAGAACACACTGTGAAGGCATCACCAGCCTGGCTGCATCTTCACATCATCCAGAGCAAAAGACGAAAGGCCCCAAATAAATGTAACCTTGGTTTGTTTATGTGGAACTGTAGGCTCATTTAGTCTTTGGTCCTATAATGCAGATGACTTTTCCATGGAGCTGGTGGGAAATGGGGGAATTAGTGAGGAAAAGGCCTAAGGGAAGTCTTTAGGGTGATGGAAGTATTTTGTGTCTTCATTGTGGTAGCAATTTCTTATATATACATATATATATATATATACATTTCCTCAAACTCATCAGAGTGTGTGCTTCATACAAGCATCTTCTGCCTCCCTGGTTTCTTGGCTCACATGGAGAAACGTTGTCTTTCCTACTTTGGAAATGAACGTAGGTGAGGCTTAGAAAGATGGAGGGTCAGAAAGGAGAGGAAGATCCCCAACAATATGGGGCGACACGGGGGCCTTAACAGAGGGCTCCGGTGTGTCAGCGGTGATGAGGCTGGTACGGGAGAGGGTGGGGGTCAGCTCAGCTCTTCATAGGGTCTCTGTGATACCTAGTGGACTCAATGGCCCCAAACGACAATATCCTGAAGACGGTGATAGAATGCCGGACGCTTGAGGAATGGCACCCTGGTCCATGGTGGGGAGAGAACAGGGTCCTAAAAGGAGGTCAGGTGAAATGCTGTGGAATGTCTGCAGGAGGGGAGAGTTCGTCCAGTAGAGGCTGGGACAGTGATGGAACTTGATGTGACACCTGCTGTTTCCACCGAGCGTCCAAGGATAAAATGCACGTAAGGGTTGCATGTCTGCAGGTAGCTGCTGGGTTGCAACTGCTTACTATGGTGGGAAGCAACCCCTGTAAGTCCTAGTATACTGAAATCTGAGGTATGTGCGGGGCTCATGATAACAGATGGGTGCTACTTTTCAGTGCGCATCAAAACGTCATCATCCTTATTATTATTACTACACTATTGTGGCCTAGGGGTAAGACGCTGTGTTGTAATCCAAAGTCACATGGTTCGAATCCATCAGCTGCTATGAAGGAAATGCATGGGCAGTCTCCTCTCGTGTGATTTACTGCCTCTGAAAACCCACCAGGTGTCAGCTACAGGTGGTTCTGACTCAAGAGCAAACAACAGCAATAGTTATGGAGTTCTGGTGGCTGGATGAGAGTTTACACCTAAAGGTGGGCAGTTCAAATCCACGCGCTGTTCCATAAGAGAAAGATGGGCAGTCTCCTCCTGTGTGGCTTACTGCCTCTAACCACTCATTGAAAGGTCGGCTATGTGTTGGCTCCAACACAATGGCACAAACACCAACAACATTATGATGAAGATGTTTTAGTGACACAGAACTCCTAAGCATGTGTGAGTGTCACTGCAGGACCACAATACCAGGTGTCAGGGAGCTCACCGTCTATAGAGCTGGTGAGGGGAGCCCCTGTGGACTGTGTTTGAGGAGAGACACCAGGCTCCGGCTGGCAGGGGGTGGTTAGGAAGCTTCCTAGGAGGAAATGTATGCCCGGCTAAGGTTTGAAGACTGGGGTGAGGAGGGTTCATGCAAGGGAAGACGCAGGTGGTCCTTGTTGACCTGTGTGGACACGGGCCCAGTGGGGAGCCTCCCAGACAACTTCTGGCCAAAGCTGATGTGTGCCTGTGTCCTGTGCACCTTCGCAGGTTTCTGACCTGGCCGAGGAAGTTGTACAGCGCCGCCCTGTCCCAGGCGGAGTCTGGCCCAGCTACCTTCACACCCACAAGTCCACCGTCGGCCCTCGCGCCTCTGGCGTCCTCCGATATTGTCTTACAGGATTTAATTAAGTAAGTGCAGACGCACGGCCAGCGCGGGGCTTTGGGTTGGTTGGCTCTGTTTTAATAGCTTGTCTCCACACGCCTCACATTCTCGGTACTCAGCCCTGATTTGTTTATTCAGCCATTCACTGACCAGGCATCTGGGCTGGGCATCTGGGATACCCAGACAAGAACGTGGCCTCTCCTCACTGGAGGTCAGAGCTTCCCAAGTCCTGGGGGCCAGGGCCCTTCCTCTCGCCTCCGTGGCTCCATCTGCCAAGATCTGCATCTGGGGCCAGGCCTAGAAGAGCAAAGCAGAAAGGGACGAGAATTTTCTAAACATTCTGTCATCCTGATAAAATGCTCCAGGAGATGAAGGTGCTTATCACCGGCACTTAGGACACAGGCACAGTGACTGGAGAGTCGCTCGAGCTGCTCGGGACTTCCTTTAAGTCACACATGGGCTGCACGAACTGGGAAGACGGCCTGGAACCCAGGCAGGGCCCACCAACACGGTCGCACATTGTGGGGGCCAGGGATGATACAACCTTGACCAGCTGGCCTTCCTGACTGAGAGCTCCATTTGTTCCTCGGGGAGCACTAGAGTGGAGAGGGCAAGGCCAGAGGCTGTCACGGTGGTTGCTAATTGAATGATTCTCTGGCTTTTGTTAAACCCCCAGAACTGTCCTGGAGGATGAAGACGAAGGGAACTATGAAGGAGAACACACAAGAGCTCAGCCGCCCGCTGCCACCATGATGGCTCCAGAGCTACAGAGCTCCTTCCCTGGGGTAGGTCAGCAGCCCACAGTCCTTCTGGTAAAACAGTGGTCCAAGGGGCAAAGGCAGGGCCAGGACTAGGCTGGGATGAGGCTGTGTCACCTGATTCATTTCCCGCTGTTGTTAGAGGTGGTCGAGTGCGACTCACAGCAATCCTGTGGACAGCAGATCTGCACCCTGTCCCGTCCTGCACCACCTCGTCATCCCCAACACACTTGAGCCCAGTGCTGTGGTCACTGTCAGTCCATCGCTTTGAGGGTCTTTCCCCCTTTCGATGATCCTCCACCTTTCCAAGCACGATGCCTCTTTGCCGGGGATATCCCCTCCTAACAAATAAAATCTGACTGAAGATAATTTAAAAACAGCTGAAGAAAGAACATCCACAGAGAAATGCCCAAAATGCAAGCTAGATTCAGAAGAGGCCTTGAAACTGGGGATATCTTGGCTGATGTCAGACGGATCCTGGCTGAAAGCAGACATCAAGAGATAGGTTTACTGAAGTCTTATTAACCATGCAAACGCATTCAGCTATGTGGACCATAATAAATTATGGATAGCACAGGGAAGACTGGGAATCCCAGGACACTTCATTGTGCGCCCATGGAACCTGAACAAGTACCAAGAAGCCATTGCTTGAACAGATCAAGGGGATCTGGTTCGGTTTAAAATCAGAAGAGGGTGAATCAGGCTTGTATCCTATCACCATATACCTGTTTGGTGACTAGTATTCAGTATGCATGACACATCAGAAAAAGAAAATCCTCACAACTGGACCTAAAGGGAACCTGATAAATAAAGATAAAAATTATTAATAATTTGATTTTTATTGGATCTATAGTCACTTGGAAGAAAGAGTCAAGAAATCAAAAGATGTATTATATTGGAAAAATATGCATCTAAAGACCTCTTTAAAGTGCTAAAGAGCACAGTGTGACTTTAAAGACTGAGTGAGGTGGGCCTGAGCCAAATCGATGATATTTTCAGAAACTTCATACTTATGTGAAAGTAGGACAGTGAATAAGAAATACCAGAGAATTGATGTCTTTGAATTGTGCTTATAAAGAATATTAAATGTACTATGGAACATCAGGGTAGATGGACAAACAAATTGAAACTGTCGACGACTTTATCTTACTTGTATCCACAATCAGCACACTTGTTATTAACAGTCAGGAGATGAAGAGATGTATTGCATTGGGAAAGTCTGAAGTCAGGGACCATGCCAGCTTATTAAGAAGTGATAATATTTGAGGACTAAAGTGCGCCTGTTTCAGGCCGTTGTCACATTCCATGCATCCGAGAGCTGAACAGTGAATAAGGGTGACCAAAAAAGAATTGATGCCTGCGAGCTGTGGTGCTAGAGAAGAGTACTGAATATCCCATGAACTGCCAAAAGAACAAACAGGTATGTCTTAGAGAAAGTGCGGCCAGAGTACCCCTTGGAAGCAAAGACGACAAAGCTTTGGCCTCTCACATACTTTGGGCATTGCTAGAAGAGGCTGTTCCTTGGAGAGGGACATCATGCTTGGGAAGGTGGAAGGACAGCAAAGGAGAGGAAGACCCTTCATGAAATGGATTGACACAGTGACTGCAGCAACGGGCTCAAGTGTGTCAGAGATTGTGAGGACAGGACAGGGATCAGATCTGTTATAGGGTCACTAGGAATCATATTCCACTTGGTGGCACCTAACAGCAACAACAACACAGACTACCAGCAGAGCAAACAGACATTTCTTCTTGGAAAAAACTGTAGCCATCATCTACCTTTGAGGCAAGGATGGTGAGACATTGTCACACGTACTTTAAGCATGTTATCAAGAGGGGCTGGTCCCTGCAAAAAAGATACCATGCCTGAAAAAGCCATCAAAGAGAAAGGAGCAGCTGGAACTTTAGCCAACAGTCTCTCAGATGTCTGTTTGCATATGCAAATCTCTGCACACGTTCAGCCTTCAGACATAACAAAACCCAGCACTAGTCTACTGCGTAGAATTGCACCGACCAATGATGACCTTACACTGCGTTGCCAGGGCTGTCAGTCTTTGCAGGAGGGGATTGCCCATCCCTCCGAGTAGACTTCCATCAAGACAAGTCTTATTTTACCTAATTGGAAACTGCTTTGTCACTCAGTGATCCCTTACAGCTATCATTTCCAGTTCCTGAATATATACTGCATCAACCTCTGTGGAGAGAGGTTTCACACATAGTGTTTAGTGACTCCTACTTTGAAGGACATTTGATTTGCCTCCAAAATTTTGCCATTATAAATAACCAGGCAGTAAACATTCTTGGACGTGCCTCTCTCCTCTCTGGGTTCTTGTCCATTTGTTTCCTTAGGGAGAAAACAGCTCTCTCTCTGACTACGTACCGTGGTGGTGGTGGTATGTGCCATCCAGTTGCCTGTAGCTCATAGTAACCCTACATATGATAGCTCTGAAGCCTGTCTTGTCCTGAGCCAGTCTCACTGACTCAGACACACCTACTCCCATTACCCCAGTTACTGTATCAATCCATCTCACCCTGGATCTTCCCCTCCTGTGCTGTCCCTCCACCTTTCCAAGCATGATGTCCTTCTCCAAGGACTGGGCCCTCTAGGCCACATGCCCAGAGTATGTGGGTGAAGCTTCAAAATCCTAGCCTCCAGGGAGAAAGTTTATTTCACCCTCTTCGAGACAGACCTTTTTGTTCTCTTGTCAGTCCATGTTCTGTTCAATACTCTTCTCCAGCACCACAACTCACAGGCATCGACCATTCTTCTGTCACCATGAAACACATCCATGGAGTGATAGACAGAACCACCTTGAGGACTCATGTTATAATGCTTCCTGGCTTCTCAGCACATCTTTCCTTTCTAGGCATTAAGAACGAATCCAACTGAAACAGGCAGGATCTGCCCCAACCAGAGCCAGGTAGAGTTTCATGAATCCCTGTGGATCTTTGAAAACGACGAATTGCTCAACCTGGGGATAGAAGAGGTAAGTGAACACCTCATGAATCCTTTCCTTATTGAGCATCTACCCTATGTTACAAAGTTCAGTCTGTCCTGGCACCATTACAACTTTTCAAAGCAGGAAATACACGCCTCTGTCTTTAGGCAGGTGGGCTAGTTGCCTTCTGTGAATCATAAATTAAAGTCAGGGCTTTAGCTGTGAGTTGACGTGACTCTGAAGCCCTTGATACTGACGTGGGTTGAACTTTGATGGCTCTCGTTTGGCACCTCTTCTCCTGCAGGTGTTTGACATTCTGCCCCTCTATGGAGTGGTGCTTCCACACAGCAGCCACCAGATCTCCTTCACTTTCTATGGACACTGTGACATCATGGCACGCACAAAAGCTCTGTGTGAAGTGGAAGGAGGCCCAACCTATGAGATAAGCCTGAAAGGAGAGGCGTCCCTGGTCGTCTATTCTTTTGACACCAAGGAAATCAACTATGGACTGCAGGTATTGCAAACCATCGGGTCAAAGCTCTCCCAGACTTAACTGTAAGCATCAGCCATCGTCCGTGGCCTTTCGTCTCTCCTGGATGCCCTGGAGAAGTCACCAGTCATCTTCCTGCACCGTTACCACTGTCCTTTGTACCCTAACCTGCCTCCCACCTCTGGTCTCCTCTTTATGCCAGGTACTTGTTCTTCCACTGTCTCCTGAAACAACTTGTTAAGACCCTGAAATTTCCACCTTCCTCTCAATCCAAAATTCCTTTCTAAACTCTTCGTTCGTGCCGCGCGTACTGCTGTCTTCCCAGCCTGTGGGTTTACAGTCTCCAAATCCTTTTCCACGGCACTGTCGCCCTCTCCCCTCCACGTCCTCATAGTGCTCAACGTTTGCCGACTCACCCGCCAAGTCTCTCAGGGTCACTTTATCCTTCCGTCTCCCACTCCTGTCCTCACACGCCAAGGCTCGTCAAGCTAGACCTAGATGATCATGGCTTGTTTCGTGCCATCGAGTCAGAACTGACTCATAGCTGACCCTCTAGCAGGTTGTCAGAGGCTGTAAATTGCATGGGAGGAGATCACACTTCTTACTCCCATTGAGGAACAGGTGGATTCGAACAGCTTGCCTTTAGGTTGGCAGCACAAGTCCTTATCCACCAGGCCACCAGAGTTCTCTTAGCCATGTGCATATAAATCACCTGGACATTTTATTAAAATGCAGTTTCTGACTTGGTAAAAGGAGATGGGGGGGAGGGCTGAGAGTTTGAATTTCTGATGACTCCCAGGTAATAGCAGTAGATCCAGGGACCAGCTTTTGAGAGGTTTCAGTATATATATATATAAAATTTTTTTTTGCTTCTACTACTAACCTGTTTGAACATCACTGACAGATTGGTTTTCCCAAAATTGCATTTTCATCCCATCGATCCCCCAACCAATTAGCCACAGCAGCACCAGGTGAAACAGCACAGCCCTGAGAAAGAGTGTTGTTTTATAAGCAGGAGAGCTGCCATCCTAACGTGGCTTTCATATCAAGTGATGGAGTGGCCTGGTCCGCACGGTGGGGATGGCGTGGCCGGCCTGACTCACCAGCCGCCTGTGGTTAACTGCCTCCTCAGCTCCTCGCCGGCGTCACCGTCGCTCAGCAGCTGTCTTCCTTGCCATGCAGTTCGTGAGAGCTCCCGGGTGTGGTGATTCCAGCCCTCTGCTAACTCATACCCACACCAGACTTCTCCCGCTTCTGCTTCTCCCGGTGTACCCCATTCAGTGATAGCCAGTCCCAGTAACCCGATACCCCTTCTACATCCCACTCCTTCCAGCCTCCACATCTGCTCCCCTGCAATCCCTCCCATCCTCCGCTCCCACCCTCACACCCAGGCAGGCCTTAAGACCAAAGGCAGCCCTATCCCACCCTTATCCTGCTCTTGCTTTACATTCTTCAGCATAATACATACTTTCTACTGTTGCTTGGTGGTAATTAGAAGTTAGTCTGTATATCTGTGCATCTTCTCTTTCCAATTAGATTTTAGAATTTTATTTTATTTTTAATAGGCATGGGCCATACCTCCTTCATAACGTTAATAGAGGACTGGGCCCATTGTACTGCTACTGCGTGTATGATTACTGAATTATGCATGGCCCTGCCTATTTATAGGTTGAAGATTGAATTATGCACAGCCTTGCCTTTTTATAGGCTTGAAGATTGTACCTAAAACCTCACTCACTCAGCACGTGTTGTGGTCTTCTCCGTTCTGTAGACTGACAGAATTCTCCTCCCCTCCTCCGTCCAGGATTCTCTGGGCAGATGACATCCACTCAGCTCAGAGAGTCTGCTTTCAAGCAGCTGGTCCTTGACAGTGGAGCTCTGGCGGCCTTGTCGATACAGAGATGCATGGCTGACCCAAAGGCCACATCTCTCTGGTGGTTACAGTCCACTAGGGCCTCCTTGGGAGAAAGACGGACAATCTCCTTCCATGCAGTTTACAGCCTCAGAAATCCCATAGAGGGTCATTTTGAGTCATTCCCAACCCAGCAGCAGTGACGCCTCATTGTCCTTGTCGTGACGTGGCCTAGGAACCCTGGACACGGCCTCAGTGTGCTGGACCTACTGCTGCTGAATTATGTTGCGCGGTCCCAGCAGCAAATACATCTGGCTGATGCTCCTGATGAAAGGACACTTTTACAATTTCACTTCAGAACATTCTCGATGTGAATCTTGTCTTAAAGAATTCAGACAGAAAAAAAAAGAATCCAGACAGCAAAGCTTCATGCTGCAGAGAGATTACCTTAAGATCCTCTACCGTGAGTGCCTCACGGTGGAGAGATTGGACGTTCAGAGTGGTTGGGGGTTAAGCCATGGCTGTTCCTAAATACATTAGTTATTAAAAGAGTGAGAGCCAGAGTCATACTTCCAGCAGCTGGTGCTTCCTTGTGACCTAAGAGGCACGGAAAAGGGGGGCAGCTGGGGTCTCTAGAGCAAGTGACAGGTCTGAGAGGGGGTTCACCCACTCATCTTTGTTGGGGCAGAAGCAGCTTCCAAAACTTGAAGATATGTAGGAGTCACCCCCACCCCTCCTCCTCCTCCTCCTCTTCACCATCATCCCCTCCTCCTCCCACCCTTCTCTTCCTCAGCTGTTTGATGACGTCACTGAAAGTGCAATCACATTGAAGAACATTGGGAGGGTCGGCTTCGAGTTCAAGGTTCTGAATGAGCACCTGTCTTGCCCAGACACCCTTCTCCCTGGAGTGCCGCTCATCCTGCCCCTCTCAGTAAGTAGCCCACCCACTCCTGGGGGTCTTGTGGGAATGGTGGTGTTGGTGTCAGGTGCCAACGAGTCAACTACAACTCATAGCGACCCTATGAACAATAGCTCTGACCCCTGCCCCGTCCAGAGCCAGTCTCCCTGTTTCTGACACACCTGCCCTCGTTGCCATAGTCAGTGCGTCAGTCCATCTCATCCAGGGTATTCCTCTCGTGGGCTGTCCCTCCACCCTTCCAAGCATCATGTCCTTCTCCAAGGACTGTGTTCTCCCGGCAGTGTGCCCAAAGACTACTTAATGGGAAATGGTGAGAGGACCCCAAATTCAAGCCTACAAACCACGCCCCTTTTGTGGGAGATTATAGGAAGTATGCACTTCCTGGAAGACAGGTGTGACGTTTTGGTTTTCATTAAAATGAAGAAAGAACATGCAGAAGCAAACACGTAGGTCAATCCAGGTCACTTCACTCATTTATGCAACAAGCATTTGGAGAGTTCCTGCATGCGCCGGTTCCAGCTACCAGGGACCAGCAGTCAGCAGACAGACGTGAGCCTGTGCACTCATGGCATTTGTGTTTGGGGTTTGTGTTCTAGTGGTTTGGGTTTTCTCATGACTATAAGAATAGCTTATTCCTGCTTACATCTTCACACTTCTCCTGTAATCCTTAGGGTGGAAGGCTTCCTCCTCAGATCCACACCAGATAAAAGCAGTTTTCCATTAGCAGGTGTAAAAATTTCATTGGCTACAATGAGCCAAATTGGTTTTAGGAGTCCTTGGAGGAAGTGGTTCTTTGTTCTGATTATGACCATTTATCAGCTTTTAAAGAACATTTGGCTGAATTTTTCTCGTGAAAATAACACATAGTCACTGCAGGGGGCAGGGGGAAATGGAAATTTTTTTAAAGGGATAAAGTGTAGTTCTTTATAATCTTACAGTCCAAAGATAAGAGTTGTTACCATTCTGGATAATAGAGTCCATTCTTTCCTTAAACTGTCCCATGTGTCTGGGCTTATGTCTAGTCTCCGCGTTCTGTTTCATTGCTCTGATTTTGTCCTTACATTAATAACTTACTATCTTAATTGCCTCACCTGTAAAGTACATCTGGATGCCTATTAGGCCAAGCTCCCTTTTTGTTCTTTTTCCAGTTTGCTTTTATTCTTTTTGCATTGAAGCCAGTCCTAGCGACATGGTAGGTTAGGTGCTGGGTTGCTCACTGAAAGGTTGCCAGTTTGAACCCACTAACTGCTCTCTGGGGGGATGATGAGGCAGGCTGGTCCCGTGAAGATTTCTCGTTTTAGAAACCTGATAAAGGACTGGCTCTGTGACAGTGAGCTTGGTTCTGCTGTCCTTCTGCATGTCCCTCATTCATTCATTCATTGTTGTTGGGTTGGAACTGACACGCAGCTGGCCTTCCAGTGTGTTTTCACGCACGGGCTAGTAGATTCAAACTGCCTGCCTTTGGGTTGGCAGCCCCTCTCCTGTTCCTGCGTTCCTTTTAGGTGCCATTGAGTCAAATACGACTCACAGTGACGCCATGAACAACAGATCCAAACCTTGGCCTCTCCTGTGCCATCCTTGTCATCTCTGATAAGTATATCCATTATCTCTGATCTATAAATATATCCATTTACCTCTGATAAATATGTCCATTTTTACATCACTGTGTCAGTCCATCTCATTGAAGGTCTTCCTCTCTTCAGTGACCCTACACCTTTCCCAGCATGATATGTGCCGACCCCTCCTGACAACATACCACAACAGAGAACAAAAGCATGTGAGTCAGAGTTTACCATCCAGTTTACCTGCATGCACTTTCTCCAGGACAGACTGCTTTATAGCTAGCATGAGGTTACCTATTGGCCCAGTAGAAAGGCTGTTTCTTAATGTGGAGATATGATTGAAGGCTGTAGTCTTAGATCTGCAGCAAGTATTTCAGAAGCTTTCCACTTGTTAAAAGCAAGGTTGTGTCATCTGCATAACAGGTTGCTAAAGAGTCTTCCTCTGATCCTGATGCCACAGTCCTCTTCACAGAGTCCAGTTTCTAGATTTGCTCAGCATTCAGATTGAATAGGTCTGAAGAAAGGATACAGCCCCGACACCACCTTATCTGATTTTAAACCTTACCCACTAGACCACCCATACTCCCTCTTCTATGTTTACTTTTAGGTAAATAATGACCCAGACAGACCTAGCCCATGTATTAATGACACTTCCATTCTATTCCAGCAAATAACAGATCATTTTCGTTCAAGATTAGAATAGATTATTTGTACTTTGTTTCCCTAATTTTCCAAGTTTCCATTTACTCTTTAAATGAATTTTGACAGAAGTACATGACTATACATTTGATTGTGCATTGTACCTTTTTAACCCATATTTAAGAAACTAAACATCATGTTTTAAAAAAGTAGATGTCAACTTTCATACTTTATACATTGTAGTATTTATTCTTTCAATTGTCATTATTTTCTGAAATACCTAGAGTTTTTGTTTTATTTCTTATTTAACATAAAAGTTCTTAAAGATATGTACATTTTACTTTTTCATTTCCAGATAACTTTTTTCTTATCTAAACTTTATTAATAATGTTGAGATTTCTTAATTATAGTCAAATATTTGGCCCCAAAATTCCTACCTGGTGAGTTTATTAATAGGATATTTTAATGGTTTAAAATTATTTTCTTATTTAACATTTATTTTCATTTCATTTATTTTAAAATTATTTTATTATCAGGGAGTGCTTGAAAAAGAATGTTTTCTTGTCAGTAGGATGTAATTTATGAACCTAAATTAAGTTAATCTGAGTAAGTACATTCATGAAGTCTTGTGTATTTTTTCTGTTTAGTCCTTCGAAGCCTGAGCATGATGCAAAGATTGCTGTCCCTTCTCTGTCCCTTGTTTTCTGCACACACAGGCACATACATGCTGCTGGTTTGGTTTCCAAACACCGTTGTTGTTGTTGTTGTTGTTGTTGTTGTTGTTATGTGCCGTCGGGTCGTTTGCGACTCATAGCGCCCCTATGCACAACAGCCCTAAACCCTGCTCTATCCTGCGCCAACCGCACCGCCTCTGATACACCCATCCCGATTACCCCAGTCACCGAATCAATCCATCTCATAGAGGGTCTTCCCCTCCTGCGCTGTCCCTCCACCCTCC